TCTTCAGCTTGCTGCTCCTCCCCCCCCCCGCCCCACTCCCCACTCCTATTCTCCGTAATCAGAGAAGGTGGACCTCGGTGGGCTGGAAACCCTGTTGCCTCTGGAGCCAAATAGGGATTTCTCTCTTAAACTAATAACCCCCCCTTTTTTTTTTCATGCAGGCAAAAGATCATGCAAAAATGGGAATAAAGGAGGTGAAAAATCGCTTGAAGCAAAAGGTACTTGAAGTATGTATTTAAAAAAAAAAAACAGAAGAAATGCTTGGCCAGGGGAAAAAAGGCATTACGTGATCAATAGAGAGCGGTTTGGGGCTGTGTTGTTAACACACTTCAAAATGCATTACCAGCTGTCCCGGATTTTCCCCACTGTTATGAATATTCACAGACAAAAACCAAACACATTAAGGTCTGACGTGGGATTTCTGCTTCTTCTCTCCCCAAAAGGGGATACGGCCGAGTGAATGGAGGCTGCCCGCTTTTGGCTTGCAAGGGTGCCGTTGAAATGCTCTTTCTGGCTTTCTCCCCTGTGAGCGAGCGGAAGGTGTCTGGTTGCTGTATTGTTGTGACCCGGAGCCAAAGGAAGCACGCGGATGTCGTGGTTGCTCCCGAGGCGAAGCACGTGCCTGCATTTTTTGCACCTTCTGGTACACCCTTATCGGACAGCCCAACTTAGGGGGTCATCTTACACATTCAGACACCTTTTTTCCCACATGAAAGTAGGGAGTCGGCCACACACACTAACGAGACTCTAATTCATGTTGAATCAGATTATTTTCAGCAGTGGGGAGGCAAGTCAATGCCTTTCCACTTCCATGGTCCTATCTAGCAGAGCATTTTCCATAAGTGCTTCAGCCATGGTTGAAATGGTTCCTCAACCCAGCAGGCCCCACGTTGGAAATGAAACTTCAGCGGCTGTTCTTCAACCCCTCGCTTTCCTTTGGTTCCTGTCTTCGTTTTTTCTCCTCCGTTTCTCTCTGTCAAAGCCACCGTGATGAAGAAATGATCTTGGAGCTTGAGATCCACCACACGTTTTCTCCAAGAACCACCTTCATTTCTTAGGAACACCTTCAAGCCCAAGCTGGTGACACCTCCGTTGCCAGCCATTTCCCATTTCTCTTCTGCAGATCCAGCCCCTGATTTTAGTCATTAATGACAGGTTTTCCTTTTATAAGTGGAATTCAACCAGCAGGAAGGAGAGGGAGAATAGGAAGAGAGCTTCTTCCTCTCTCTGCCCCCAGACTGGTTGGCATTCCCCCATCTTCTGGCTGACTAATTTGAGGATCTAACCTCACTGCCACTCTATATTTCCCAGCATTAGCATGAAAAACCTCCCAGCTTTTGGGGGAGCGAAGCTAATCCTTACATTTCACCTTTGAGGCTTCAGTTGCCAAATAGGAGTGACTGTTCTGTACAGCAGCAGGAGAAATTTTAAAATGCACCAAAGACAGGAAAGCCTGTTTTCTTTGACTGCGCATAGCAATGATGACCCCTTGGTATAATCAAGAGTCTATCTCTGCCCTTGGTTTGCTCCAACGTTGGCTTTGAATTGCAAATGGGAAATACTGGGTTGAATTCCAGAAAGGTCAGCCTGGTGTCTTGAAGGTCCTCCTCTAATGCGATCATGGAGATTAAATGGTGCTCCCTTCCTATCCTGTCTTCATTTGGGGGCTGGGATGCTAAAAGCATCTGCAGTCATTTGCGCTGCCTTGTCCCGACTGTCCGCAGCGGATGGCTAACAGAGTACGGTGCAGCAGCTTGATTTTAGAGGTCAAAGAAAATGGCCACGGCCAGCCCATTCCCAGCTCTGCCTCCGTTGAAAGCTCAGCTCGTACAGTTAGCCAGGTCAAGGGCAAGAGCAAAAGGACACAATGAGCGCTCCTGTCCACCTGGCAGGTGGTTGCATACTGACCTATTTGCCATGTCCAACAGTGGTCTTGGAGACATCTCCCAAGGCGTTCAGCACTGGCGTTGGCCTCCTTTTTCCAACTTATTTTTCATTCTAACCAGATACGGCTTCCAACTTTTAGAAAAAAATGGCCTCCCCTTTGTGGCCTCTACTTAGTTAGCTGAGTTCTGCAAAGGCAAGACGGAGATCTCCTGTTCATACAAAGTTTCTTCCCAGAGGGTTCCTCTTTTTTTTTTTTTATTACAAGTTCTTAATTTTCTCTGACACACTTTTTGTCCCTCTCGGAGAACCTTGGCTCGATCGGCTGGATCTGAAAAGGTCCTTTGCTTTTCTGCCTGGAACGTGGTCCATCCAAGCTTTGTTGTGTTGGACCAGAGGGCTTTAGGTCATCCTGTGCCCAAAAGAATGCCTTCTAATTGGCTATCAGCTTACAGGTCTCATTAGAGTATTTGAGCAAGAGTAGAACTTGAGGGACATGTCAGAGGTCACCCATCAAAGCAGCTGGCCTTGAGGTCACATATGTGTACAGTGCTGTCTCTATACTTACGAGGCATTAGTGCCCTGACATTGTCACAAAGAAGTTTTAAAGTTGAGGCTTCCTCCACAGCTGGCTTTGTTGCGTGGCGGATTGCAGAAGCCTTTCCATTATTTCTAATCTTTGAGGACATCGTGTAGCTGCCATCTCTGTTCCTCAACTTTGCTGCATCTAACGCGTTTCATTATACAATGTCCCACATACATGTGCACAAGCCACCGGCTCTCTCGTAAAACCACCTGCCTTTTAACCCATTGATTAATGACATGTAAACACTGCTACACATTTCAGCGAAACTCCAGAAGCCTCAGTGAGCATCCTGAATAGAGCCTCACTGAACATTAATACCTTGAGTCGAATTTGGAAAAATAAGCTGTTCCTGGTTACAATTGCGTGCGAGATCTGAGGTGGCTTCCAGAATTAAAAAGGGAAGAACGCAATGCTTTCTGTGCAAAATACCCACCAGTGGGTCCCTTGAATCACCAGAAAAAGAAGAGATGGTGAGCAAGATCCTGTTGTGTGGGGGCCCCCGAGAAAGCAAATCCGGTATGATCAGGCAGGGCTAGCTAGATTGACACGTAGCCTAACGAGGTTCAGTGAGGTCCGAGTTCAACCAGACAATTTATTGGCAACTTCTAGAGTTTGAGGAGATGTTCAGATGTAGTTTTCAACTCTCCTTGGGAACCAGTTAGAAAGAAGAGCTGCTATTTTAGTTTTCGTCAGATTTGGCATGCAGGTGTAGGAGAACGCGGGCACATCCATAAGGCCTTTTCAGCAGATGTGTTTTTGGGAAGGAAGTGGGGTACGAAAGCAACCAAGCTCAAAGCTGAGAGACAGGCGGCCAGTTGATATGCGCAACTACTTCTTCAAGGTCAACGTTCTGCACTTGTATCTCCTGTGCACTAAGAAGGATTGAACTTTTCCCAGTCTCTAGCACGGGTCTTCCAAGAGCATCCTTCCAGCGTGGAGCCTGTACTTCTGGCCTTGGCTTTGCATTCCACGTCCCCCCGATGTGTCCAACGGCATGTTAAGGATCTTCCCTGGAACCTTTTTCTAGCCATAGCTAAATGGAGGTGGTCTAAGATGCCTGCTGATAAAATTTGCTCTTACTTTCCACAGACAGGCCATGACTGGGTTGGTGGTCCAATTCTGTTGGAATCATTAAAGATTTAGTGACATTGAAGCCTCCCTTTTCTTTAGGGATCTTACTGGGCAAAGTTCGTTTAGCCTCACAGCCACCCGAGTGAATTTGGTGGATCTCCCCAGCCTTAATCAAGTGCAGGGAGCTGGAAGTTTATTAGTAATATTCCAGCCCCATCATTCCACAATTCAAATCAACTCTTTTGCCTTTTACCCACCTTGTCTGTGATGTTTCTTCACTGGGGTTGAAATTAGCCAAGTTTAACGTTCTAAGTGATTAGCTTTTATCTGCTTACCATGGACCACCACAGTTGGAACTCAGTATTGTTTAATGATGTGGTGGTGAGATTTAACTAGTGATGTACAGGATACAGGAACTCTTGGTATGCTAATGTTTTAATTGGTTTTTTTTAATTGTTGTCATTCCTGGCTTCAAAACTGTACCATTCACTTTATCCCCACCTCCTTTGTATCCCTCACCCTTAAAATCAAGGGTGTTCCTGGCGATGTGATTCACCTTTCCCTCCTGTGCAGGACATCAGTGAAAATGGCTGCTCCACCATGCCTGAAGACTCCGTCCCAAGGCCAGCTCCATCTCCGCTGCCTGAAAAGAGAGACCCCAAACTCCAAGATGACAAGCGACCGATCACTGTTCGCTCTGGCCAGGTAAGCTGTGGAGGTGACTTGGACCTTCCTCTGTAGCAGGACTATCTTCTCCAGCAAGGCATGCTAGTTGGGATGGTGGACCCGCATTGCAGCTTCCAGGACCTCATCTATGCTCTGGAAGCACTCCCATTTTGTGCTGCTGAATTTAGAAGACCAAAATGACCCCATTTTAGTAGGGTGATTTTTATTTTTTTTACTTGATTGGGGTGGGGGATAAAGCCCAGAAGAACAGTGTAAGGCCCTTTGCCATTTTCAGTCTTAACTCTACCCCCACTCCCCAAAGTTCTGGTCCCACCTCTTCTGGTGATATCATTGGAAGGCCCTTTGCAGCTGTCAAAATGATGGGCTGTGTTGCCTATCATGGCTTCCTATTTCTCCACCTTGGGTAGGGGCACACCCAAGACTCCAGTCTTCAAAGGAAGCCACCATGGGTCTATGAGAACACCCCACAGTTCTCTCGAGGCCAAGGGAAGAATTCATGAGAGATCTGAGTGGGCAGACACTCATAATCGGAGCCTGTGCAAACCACCAAAGGTTCAACAATGCACAGCGCCTGCCAATGCACCTAAGTGGCACATGGTGGAACCAGGAGCTGCAGTAGACACCAGTCTGAGGTTTTGGGGGCACATCTTGTCCACGAGGTATTTCCAAGAGTCTTCTTGCACCTCTGAGCACTGCATCTCCCCTCCTGCAGAAGGAAACCTCTCCCAACTTCCAGTCCTGGGTTTTCCCTTCCCTCTGCCTCTGTTTCAGGTGTCTTCTGTTCCCTAGCCCAGTCATAGTGTCAGCTGCCAGGATCTTAGGATAATAAACACCGCAGCACACTTTGAACAGAAAAAGCAATGAACAGAGGTTGGAAAATCAATTAATGGCTCTTTAATAGCGTGCTTCATATTTCTGTATTGACTCTCCTGTTCTGCAAGCTGGTTATTTTTATTATGGGCTCTGGCAACGCATTTGTGAAAACCAGCCAGGACTGGAGTGACTAATAATTACAAAAATGAATTTAACTTTCCAAGTGCTGCATTTTGGTAAGCTTGGGGGGCAGCGGGGGGAGAGGAATATGTCATCGGTAGCTTCACCAACCCTGATTTTAGTCTTCATTTGGTGACTCTTTAATCCGCGGAGTGGAAATGTTGAAAGGGTGAAGAAGCGCTTTCTTGGGGAGGAAATAGGACTGATTCGAACTCCAGGGTGATCTTGGCAGGGCACTCTTGGTAATATTTAAAAACATTGCATGTTTAAAATAGCAATCCTAGGTGTTAACACCTTAAGGGGCTGTCTGAATTCACGGGAACGCACCTACAGGTTTTATTCTGATGACTGTTTAACTGATACATCTCCCGGGCAATCTCTGGCTGAGGCAGGGTTGACTCTCTCCATCCCGTCCTCCTCGTGGCACGGTCAGGTCCTCAGCCCATGTGGCTTTTGACCAAGCCATGGGCCTGGCCAGGCTCTTCAAGAAATGTTTGTGGTGAAGACCCCTCCACCCATCTTCCTGGGCATTTGCAGCAAAAATTCCTCTGGAAGCATAGGGCAGTCATCTCGGCCATAGACTGGCATGAGGAGGAGACCCAGTCTTTAAACAGGGAGCATCGAAGAGGAGACACCGGACTCCTCTTTTCAGTCCTTCACATGGCAAATGAAAAGAACACGCAGGCGAGATTCTCCTCCTTTGCACAGACGATTAAGGGGCCCGCTTCTTCTGCTCTTTCTGCCCCTCCCAAGACGCGGCAGACAGATCTGATGCACGGACCCGATGGCGGCCGAGCCCCCCAGTTTCGGCAGCGCTGACTCCTTGCAGCGGCGGGGGCTGCAAGCTTGCAGCCCACCAGCCCCGGCACAGGTCCCTAATTGAGATGTGCTGTCAGAGTGACAAACACATTTGCATACAGTCTATTTATTTTGCCGGAGAAGTCCACTGGCTGCTGTTGGCGGAACATCCTTAATCAGCTTGCTGAAAGTCAGCCGGCAGCTCGCTCTGGCTGTCCGAGACGAGGCGCTTTTCTTCATTAAGTGACAGATTAGCTGAAGGGGACGAGGGGGGTGGGTTGCTCAGCCTAACTGCAACATTTAATTTTAACTCATTAGGGCTCACCCAACTGGAGTTGGCAGTTGGTCATGGGTGTCTTGTTCCCCACCAGCCGCCGTCATTAATCTGCTCACAAAGAGGCCGGATCCAGCTGAACCGCCTGCCGGCTGAAGCAACAACAGCATAAACACCTTTCGGCTGTACTCGGTTGACTTTTTTCCCCTCGCTCTATGGGGTTGGGAAGGCTGCTCCCGATTTTGCCCTGGGTTCGCAGGCAGCCTGCCAAAATAAGGGTGTCGTAGCACGGCTTCCCTTCAGAGAGGTGACGAGCTGCCTGCATTGGGGCAGCTGGGTGGCTTTTGCTGTTGGGATAAAAGAGGGGAGAGCCCCCTATTTGTGGGTCTCCCTGTTCTGCTTAGGACGAGCTAAATCCCTTCTGTAATTCTTGTTCCTTCTTAAACAAGGATCCTTCCAGGAGGTGTTTTCCTGCTTAACGCAGTGCGGTCTGCTCCAGAGATCGGACATTGTCCCTTCTCCACCCCTCTAGGTCTTTCCTCGAAAGCATAACTCTGGGTGCCCCAGCTGAAAACAGGGGAACCGCTGGAATTCTGGCTATGAATGATACGTGGAAGCAAATTCCCTGTTGAAAACATTTGCCTCTTTATGCCTTGCCATTCTGCGTGTCACTTCAAGGAGCCAGGAGAGTATTTTCTGCCTAAATATTTTGAATCCACCAGTTCTGATTTTCTTTTCTGATTTAACTGGTTCAGGGAGCCCTTTCATGCAACAGGCCTAGAGCTGTCACTCTAGACTCTGGTTCATAGTCAAGGAATAATTCATCTCTTACCATTCCCTTTTTAGG